ATTACGATGATAGATTCCAGCCATCATCTGAATCCATAGAAAAATCGAAGAATGGCAAAGATTTGGATGAAGATGATATATCAAATATGAAAGATGCTTTAGCGCAAAAATCAGCTGAAAAGTGGATTAAGGGATATATTAAAGACCTACGTGATGGACCGAAAAAAGATGAAGCCATCGTATCCTATTTATGGAAAGAAGCTCGTACTTATGTGATAAAAATTTATTTGTTACCAATTATGCTAGTAAAGTAGTAAAATGCTCGGGTAATGTTGGTCATTACACTTTCTTCTTTAATGCACTAGATAAACTAGAAGAATCCACTTGCTTAAAGATTTTGCTATTGCTCAAAGAAATTTCTAAAATCGATGAACGTTACAAAGAAGAAATGTATAAATTAGTTACTAAGTCCAGTAAGCGTAAATCAAAAGCTATGACCTTAGAAAAATATATATTATTATATGATCTAGAAAATGAGTGTAAGCTACTAGCAAATTTCTGAAACACATGGTACAAAGTGGTTGGTCTAGAAATTACACGCTATTGAGCATTATCTAAGTTACAAAATGACAAAAAAGATGATTTGTCTGAAACAGATATAGACGAAATTATCGAATTATATAGATAAGTACTCTTAGCTGAAATTTCCACACCCCTGCTAGAAAACTTATAATACTGGCTAACTTCAATTCCTATATTCGATCTGGACATGTAGTGCCTCTTCTGACCTAGTCCTCCGATCACACAACCATAGATAATTAGGTGTTACCCGGCCTATCTGGTACCTCTTCTCTATTTTGTGGGCGGGATATCTGACTTTTTCTTTTGGCATGATGCTCTCTAAATTCTGTAGCTTTTTCATAATGACTAACCATATAATTACGATTAATAGAAAAAGCAATATCGAGCAGATGAGCACTGATGATAGTAATTTGTCTATATCGATAGAGTTCCCTGCACCACCTAATGAAATTTTTTCTTTAGAAATAGTAGTGGGTATGATTTGTTCTGAAGAAGCACTAGAGCTCTCTGGCTCATTATTTTTTCGCCACCACTTTTTACATATGAATTGGTCCTCTCAGGACCATTTAGCTAATTATTCTTATCAAAATATCCTGGGGGTAATGAATTAATCACAGATTGAAGCAATTTCACTTCTTCCGATTTTGCATAACATTCAGCTTTATATTTGGCGAGAGAAGTCTCTGCGCAAGCATATTGGAAAAAAAGTTTAGAATTTTCAACCTTCAACTGTCTGGCCTCATCATTGATCTTCATGTATTCGTTCTGCAACTTAGCATTATAATCTCATATCTTGGATGAGTCTTGTAAAATGCGACATATCTCTTTCTCAAGATCATATGTTCCCATTTATTTACATTAGCCATAAATATATAAAAAAAAAACTTTCAAATTTTATGTTAGAGAATAATCACAATAAATAAAAAATAAACACGAAGGTTATCAATCGTTTTTATTATTATTTTAGATAGCATATTAGAATGTATTCTACCCACCTAAAACAATAAATTATGCTTTCTAACGTCTCCTCTCATTCTAAAATAATAAATA